AAGAGGGGAGAGAGAAGACTTGGGGAGCCTCTCACTCAGGAATCCTTGCTTCTCTCACTGAAAGGTGCCGGGAACTGAAGACCAGGGACTCTGAGAACTGTGAAATCTATCTTGAGCTTTGTGACTCCCTAACTCCAGTTCTGCTTTTACCTGGCACCCTTGTTTTGCTGAGCAAGAAAACCTTTATTAAAAAAAAAAGAGCAAGACTGGGGCCGGCCCTGTGACACAGTGGTTCAGTTCGGCGTGCTCTGCTTCAGCAGCCTGGGCTCGTGGGTTTGGATCGCGGGTGTGGACCTATATCGCTCGTCAGTCATGCTGTGGCGACTCACATACAAAGTGGAGGAAGACTGGCACAGACGTTAGCTCAGGACTAACCTTCCTCAGTGCACGCACACACACAAAAGCAAGACACTCATTTTTGGCAGTGGCTAGGATAGAACCAGGAATATACCCCCCAGGGACTTGTCATAACGGGGGAAACTGGAATGAGAGAGTGGGTGTTGTAAAGAGAGAGCGTTTTAAAGAAGAAAGAGGAGCCAGCCAAGTCCCAGGACCTGAAGCAAAGAAGAAATGGGAGCACAGAAGAGGCCAAGGGCCTGGTGATAAGGAGGCACCACTTTCCTCAGGCGCCCTCAGCACCCAGGAAGCAGGCCTCAGGCGCATCCTCCCGCCTCCTTCCTTCCACCTTCTCTTACACCAGCCCCGAGGACTGTCACCTGGGATTGGCATCTCCATAGCCCAGTTCTGGCACTGTTTGCTCCAGACACTTCTGTGGTGACAAATGGGTAGATCGTTCCCATGAGGGCTCAAATAGCCCAAGCTCTTGCCAACCCCAGAGTCCTCAGGAGCCTCCATTCAGGGGCCTCTCCCCCAAGCAGGTGACTTTCTTAGCACCATTTGCCACCACAGAGTAAGTACCTAGGCACACGGTTTCAAGACAGCCAGAAGCCCTGCTTTCTCTAGAACACACCGTGCCCTCCCTCCATCCTCTGCGTCTAAGTAGTCTGAAGGTGCACCATGGAGACGGCTGAACGGGGCAGCCGGCACTGCCCATGGCTGCCTCGCGGACTGCACGGCTTCACCACACTCCAGCTGTCTCAGAGAGGCAGGGACGAGCAGCCAAATTTCCCCAGGCCCCTGGAAGGGCTTAGGCATTAACTGAGAAAGCTCGCTGACCCTGAAGGGTCTGGTGGTCCCAGTAGGAAGACACATGCAGCAGAAACAGTGAGTCCAGGGGTCAGAGACCCTCCCGTGAATGCCAGCAATGAAAGAGGCTACATCTCGGCGGAAGCCTCACAGGACAGAGGGACAGCAGCAGATCACAGACCTCCTCTCACACCGAACAGAGGTGCCACCCAGGGGAGAAAGGCAACGGAGAAAATCATGAATTGACACTTTTTAAATGAAAAAACTGAGAAAACACATGGGGGACTGAATTCTCCTGGAAATGCTAGGATTTCATTTTCTGTCTTCAAGGTGGATTAAACTAACAACAGAAAAAATAAAGTTGTATTTCCTCCACAGGGCTTCCTGGCTGTGGCAGAGGTGTACAAGCAGAGGTCAGAGTTGACTGTGACTGGCAGGGCTGGAGGGTGCCCTGAAGCCTTGTTATTCCAGCTGTGGTCTAAGGATTGGAGGAATGGCCACAGCTGGGAGGTGTTAAAAATTCAGTCTCAGGTCTCTAAGTAGATCTTCTGAAACTGAACCTGCATTTTAAGAAGATCCCAAGGTGATTCATATCCGCATTAAGGTTTGAGAAGCATCGCCTTAAGGGATGATTCAGAGGCTCCAAATTCTTTTTTCTTACAGCCTAACTCCACACAAAACCTTTCACCTGGCAGTGAAAGCGGAGCGCTCTGCCTGCTTTGGGTGGCCCACGCCCCTTTTGCTCATCACTTACAACAGCCCTTGAGGCATGTCTGAGGATGTCTGAAACTCCAGAGACCAGCTAAAACCTACTCATCTTGGCCAAGCTCCTCGTCTGGCATTTAAGGAAGTTAAGGAGACCTGCTTTTAGCAGCAGGTGGTGTGCTGTGAGGGACACAGGTGAGGGCGTGTGGACTGCTCTTGAAAGCTCACAGCAAGGCTCTATGCATGGAAACATCGGCAGACACCAGGGCAAGGCGTGAAGAAAACCCAGCTCATTGCTCAGTCCGCACTGCCCCGTGTCCCGCCCAACCCAACCCTCAGGACCAGACAGACCCAAGCAAGTCGAGGGGTGGGTGTCCACAGTCTTGGGTACTTCTCCAAATCCCTAGGCAAGGAAACTGTGACAGTAAGCCCAGTGCAGACCTTGTGTTTCCAGGACTGCTCATACAGACCCACAATCTAAAAATCCACCTACCTAAGGCCCCCAAAGCTGGTTCACGTGGCAAGGTGACAGCCCTCACTGTGATGCAGCCCGGACCTGCACTCCAGGATGGGGCTTCTAAGCTCCATGAGGGATGCTCCCTTGCGCCAGGTGGGAGCCCTCCCCAGCCTTTTTCTGTGTTAAGGGACGGGCTCCCTGGGGTGAGTGAGAGCTGGCTCTGCCATGTGGGAGATGGACAGGTCTTCAGAAAGTGGGTAGATAGGGCATGAATCATGACTTGGGGACTGCACCCAAGTTAATGAGCTTGAAGCCTTCACTTTTAAGTCCCATCCTTCTGCTCTCAGACAAGGGAGGGGCAGGTGAGGGACGCTGTGAGCATCCCTCAATATGAAATGTTAGCTGTGTTTCAGGGACTGGATTGAAATGGGTAAAAGGGGAGGACGGTGGCATGTTGAGGGACAGAGAGGACTGGAAGGCTCTGATCCAAAACTTACACGCTTTTCAGGAGAGGCGTTACCCTATCCACATCTGAGCAAAGCTGTGCGAGGATCTGATATGTCAGGTCCCCAGAGAGGCGGCCCCTGATGACCTTGGCAAGGCTCTAGCTGTAGTGTCACTGGGGGCCTTGCCGAGTAATGAGAACTGGAGAGGACCCATCCTACTAGGCTTGTTGATCAGAAGCCACAGTGTTGACGACAACAAGGCGTGGTTAATTGGGAAACTGACACTGGTTTGTTCTGTGCGAGGCCTTGGTCAAGTTTACCAGGAAGAAAAACAAGACCCAGTGTATCTGATAGTGCTACTTGAGACCAACAGAATGAAGAAAAGGCTGACGCTGTGACTGGGTGAGCAGCAGCTGCCCAGGAGCCAGCCCACTCTGATCAAGGGTATGCAGGGTGAGCCAAGGCTCGGAAGACCACACAGCCAGCACACTTGGGAACAGTGTGAGCTCTGCTCAAAGGTGACGCAAAAGCATATCAGTGTTTTAGCTCAATCAGAGAAACCAACTGCCAGTCCGGGCTGGAAACTTGCCCTGTTTCCAACTGATCAGAGAACTGTTTTCAAAGCCAAGATGGCTTTGGAATCCTCAGCAACATAATGCACTGTTGTCTTTCATGATTCTTACAAGCATAGTTAACTTTGAGAACAGAGTTCCTTTCACAGTTTGTTAGTACGGTAGTCCCCCTTTACCTGCGGTTTTGCTTGCGTTGGTTTCAGTTACCCACGGTGAACTGCAGTCCAAAAATATTAAAAGGAAAATTCCAGAAATGAACAATTCCTAAGTTTTAAATTGCATGCCATTCTGAGTTGTGTGATGTCACACTGTCCCGCTCCTTCCCATCCGGGACTTGAAGCATCCCTTTGTCCAGCAGATCCACACTGTATACACCGCCTGCCCATTACTCACCTAGCAGCCCTCTGGTTTTCAGATCCACTGTGGCAGTTATCGCAGTGCTTGTGTTCAAAGTCACCCTTATTTACTAATAATGATCCCAAAGCGCAAGAGTAATGATGTTGGCAATTCCGGATGTGCCAAAAAGAAGCTGTAAAGTGCTTCCTTTAAGTGAAAAAATGAAAGTTCTCAATAAGGAAAGAAAAACAATCTTATGTTGAGGTTGCTAAGATCCATGGTAAGACCAAATTTTCTATCCGTGAAATTGTGAAGAAGGAAAAAGAAATGCGTGCTAGTCTTGCTATCACACCTCAAATATGTACATTTAGGCAAAAAAACAGTATATCTAGGGTTTGGTACTATCCATGGTTTTAGGCATCCACGGGTGGTCCTGGAAGGTATAAAGGGGGACAACTGTATTTCCACTGGCGTAACTGATCCACAGACAGTGTGTACTGGAACTGTGAATGGGTTGGTTTCTGGGGTTTATATCCAGGCACACCTTGTTTTATTGCACTTAGCTTTACTGCACTTCGCAGATACTGTGTTTTTTACAAGACCTTCCATCAGCAAAAAGGTTACAATGCCCTGAAGGCTCAGAGGAAGGTTGGCATTTTTTAGCAATAAAGCATTTTTTAATAAAGGTATGTAACACTGTTTTTCGAGACATAACACTATCACACCCTTAGCAGACTACAGTATAGTGTAAACAAAACTTTTACATACATTGGGAAACCAAAATTGGTGTGACTCGCTGTATTGTAGCAGTCTGGAACCAAACCTGCAATATTTCCAAGGTACACCTGTACGCATATTTGTACACACATCATAGGTTTAGAAATTGGGACCATAACATTCCTATTAGTTGGGGATTTTACATATTATACACTGCCAGGATAATCTCCCACTGTGTTTTGTGGAGAAAGAACACATCAGTATTAAGATTACCACTAGGTAAGTGACTGACCGTGGACCACGCCAAGCTGCCCACACCTAAGACCTGGGGGCTAGGTCCTGAGTCATAACGAGTCCATGAGCCTGTACCCTGAGGGCCTTGGCCTCAGCATGCGAGGCACTTGGTCAAGCCTCCTTTCTGATGGCTGAAGGGAAATTCCTAAGCCCAATTAAGAATGGCACCGAGGAAACGTCCACAGAGCACTCCTCATCCCACTGACCACTTGCGCTCTCTGACCACAGGAATCATGCTGCGGCCCTGCTTCCTCCATCCGGCCACACTCCCTCCCAAGCCCTACTATGCCCAAGGAGACGCAGCTGCAAAGACCACAGGCACCCCAATTTACATAAAATTATCTCACTCCATTTTATTTAAGATTTTTTTCTCCAGTTAGTAAAAGAAAGATGTGTCTCTCTTTATACATATGTACAAGTTCAGTTATAAAAATAGACAGCACATTCAAAGAGAAAAAAAGGCTTGGCATTTTTCTGATTCCCTCTAAATAGCATCTGTACACAGGAGTCTGGGATTGGGCAGGGGACTCTTAATGATTTAAATTAAATGATTCCCCTACCACCCTTACTCCAAAAAAAGTTTTAAAAATCAATCTATCTAAACTCAATTCCGCGATTTTCAGGTGTGCAAATTAGAGGCTGGCCCGCCTGGAAGCACCTGCTCCACCAGGGACATTAGGCTGGGGGCAGGCAGAAACACCTCCCGTGCAAACACCACCCCTTTGCCTTTCCTGGAGGGAAGCAAGCTCAGGCTGGTGGGGCTGGGGCTAGAAGGGTTGGTGCTGAACTTGCCCTCTCTCAATCCTCTCCACCTCACTCCTGCTGTCCCCTCCTTTCTCAGTGCAATACAGACAGTGCATACAGCCAAGCAGGGGGCTGAAGGGCAAGGGTGGGGAGACTGTGCATTCAGGAAGGGCAAGGGGAGACTGCAAGAGGGGCAGTGAGGATGTCCTGCTGATTGAGGTGGCTCCTGGTCTCTTTACTGGCTTCTGGGAGTCCCGGGGTGGGAGCTGCTGCTACTGTTGCTGGTGGGACCTGAAGGTTCTCTGGTGTGAACCATGCAGGACAAGGGAGGAAATGCTGGGAAAATAGCTGCCTTTGAGCACGCTTCCTCCAGCCTTCTGTCATCCTCACAAGCCACTATCTTCTCTCACACTCACTGCACTCTTCAATGGTGACACTCTGGCAAATGGGGTTTGGAAACCTGGGGAGCTGCCCAAAGACTGAGGACGCCAGGTACATGATTTCCTCCCTTCCTGGCCCTGTAGGAAATCACAGCCCTAAGAGAAGTCTCCACCATGAGAGGCTCTTCACAGCAATCGTGGAGCCTTTGCAAAGGAAATGGCCAGAGCCAAAGAGTGGAATGGGGATGGAGACAGTGTGCCTCAGCATCTAAAGGGGGTCTCTGTCAGGCCCTTCCCCAGCACGAGGTTTAAGACGTGGCTATAAAGCTCATTTGAGATGCTGCGGAGCTGACTGCTGTCCTTGGGCCTTCCTCCTATAGGCAACCCCAGAGCACTCCTCTTGAGACACAGGTGATATAAGTGCTCACACTAACCACCTGCCTGTCCTTCCCTTGCTGCGACTGGTCATCTCTGCCCTCTGACCTGTGATGTAAGATGCTGCACTGGGCAAGCCATCCAAAGATCATTTACAGGCCAGGACTCTAGCCCCTGGTTTGGGTGACGGAAGCTGGAGAGCCCAGGTGGTTACCGTCCTCCAGAGGAGTGGGTGCCTTTGCCCTGTTTCCGGACCAGGGAGTCTGGGGCTAGGCTGCTGGTCAAGTGGAGGCTCTTGGGAGTCCCAGGAACATTATTTCCTTTGTTTAAAGGGGAACTCAAGGGAGAAGAGGCGCTTGAAGGTCCAAAGTCAGCAAGGCCAGCAGGCCGAACAAGGGAAGTCTGCAGAGGACTGCTGGCAGAGATTCCTGTGGGGATGGAGAAAGAGACAAGAAGAGTGTAAGCACCAGCCCTGTCAGAGCTGACTCAGCATCTGACCTTGGTTACTGGAGTCTGGGCTGATGTAAGATTGTGGGGAACCCCTCCCTGCCACTCTTGCCAACCTCCTCTTAGCACATTCGCTTGCTCTTCCTGCCAACTGTCTTTTCCGTAAGAGGGATGTGTTTTTAAGAGAAAGACACCTACCCAGCCCCCTCCACATTACTTCATCTGCAGGGAGTAAGAAGTCACCTTGGTGCTCAAGGACAGGGCACATGTTATACAATGTGGGGCAGCCAAGGCTGCAGGTGAGCTGTAACTTACTAGGCATGAATGTACTTTTTCATACATTCTTCTTCCTTCTTGGGACACAACTTGTGATTAGCTGCTTCCTTCTTAATTTCAGAAGATGTCCTCTACTCTCCAGTCAGTCTGTGCCCTCTGCCTGCTCTATCCTGTCTATGCTCATGCAGTTCTCCTTGTGCTGGAAGTGGCGGCCCCTGCTTTCCATGCCCTCAGGTCAAACCTCCCATCTTCAGAGATGGCTCCCTGGGAAACAATGAACTCTCTCTTTCTTGTATGTGCCAAACCCACTACATCTGATAACACGTTGTCTAACACGATGCTTCAATCATTTCTTGGGTCCTGGTTTTACTTTCCTAGAAAGAATTCTAAGTCCTTGGTGGGCAGACACGTGTCTTTTCTCATGCACAGCAGGACTACAGGGAGCCCCTGGAGCAGGCCTTCCTCTTGCTTTCCACCCCCAGCTCCCAACATTGCTGATTTTCCTTCTGACACTCTACCCCTGTTGCCTCCTTCACTCTTCCCACCCCCTTCTCAGTTCAGGCCAGGTCTCCAGGAGAAAGCCTGAGGAGTGTCATCAGGTGAGGCCCTGCCACGGCAGCCTCGATTGCTGGCATGATTGTTTTCCAAGGATGTGACGAGCTGGAAAAAGGTTAAGAAACACTGGGCTGGGCTATTATACTTCCTATTTGTTGAATGAACAAATAAATGAAAGCTGAGATTACTCCTGCAGCAGAAGAAAGGGTGGTGAATTAATATTTACTGAACATCACTTTTTATAATGCCCTTACTTGCTACAAGAGCCCTATGAGGAAAGGCCCAGAAAAGCTAACTTTAATTAAAACAAGCAAAAATAAGGGTGAAATATGAAAGATAGGGAAGATTAGAAAACAAGGAAGTTTGAAATCTTCATCAAGCTCTTATTTTGCTTTCCCTAAACCCACACTGTGAATGGGGAGAGAGGTCTGTAAACAGGCTTTCCACTTCTCACCACTCTCCCAGGTCTGGCATTCCATGGCTACAATCATCCTCCACGTGTCATGGTCACAACAGCCATCTCCTTCTGACACTTTCCACAGCCCCTTGTCATACACCTGGTAAGTTCTTGCCTGTCAGGACTTTCCAACCTTGACTCCCATTGCTCCTCTTTAGCACAGCCTGACTGACCAGCTTGGTGACCCCCAATATGCCTTGGTCATTGCCAATTCTCCTGTTCCCAGTCCAAATCCTTTGTCATCCTTCTCCTTCTTTCTGAATTACAGTCTGGCAACTTTGTCATCAGGTCCATGGTTCCTCCTCCTGACAATTGGGGCCTTCTCTCTTTTTTTTACTCAATACAAGGAGCTTCCTGGACTGAGGGTGTCGTACCTGCTCTACCTGGCAGATCGCCCAAGATTCTACAGCCTTTCCCTGACCAGGGTGGAGCCTGCAGTGCACCCCACTCCCCCGATTTCCCAACTCCCCGGGGCTCCACACCTTTAGACACGTTGTACCCGTATGCAGCATAGGCAGCTGCGGAGGCCGCTGCAGCCCCTGCTTTGGCTCCTGCCATTGCGGCAGCACTGCCTGCGGTGGACTTCCGGCTCCGGCCTTTCCCTGCTCCTTTGGCTGTGCTTCCTGAACCTTTGGGGCGGCCTCGGCTTCGGGCTGAGTGGCCTCGTCCTGCAGCTGGCATTTCCTGAATGGAAATTCCTGTGGGAACAAATGGGCCAAGAGGGAAAAAACTGTTAGCAGACTCTTCCCTGACAGGGAAGGCTGGCTTGCAGGGTGCGTGTTTCAGGACTCCCAGGGAGGTCTAGGTCCCCATTTCATGGCTGGGCCATGGAGTCACACAAAGTTAGTAGGAATTCCATATAGCTAAAACAGCCTGACTCCTCAAGCTGCTTTTAATTCTAAAGAGTGGTTCCATCACTCCTGAATTTCTTCTTTAAACTGGATCATTACTAAATGAACCCCAGGGACTTGCCATCTGCAACTCCCCTGCACACTCCAATGTGCTCCTGCCTTGGAGAGTCACCTTATACTAGAGCTCCTCAAGAAACAGCAGCAACACTGAGCCCCACAGAACGAAGTGAGGAAAAGCCCAGAAAAGCTAACTTTAATTAAAAACTAGCAAAAATAGGGGTGAAGTAGGAAAGATAGGGATGACTAGAAAACAAAGTTTGAAATCTTCATCAAGTTCTTATTGTGCTTTCCCTAAACCTTCTCCTCCTCCCTTTCACTTGACAGGGCTAAGGAAAGAATGAGCCTACAAATTCTCCTTTTTGCTCCACTCTACTCTTCTTTAAAGAAAGTAGAAAATGCCATCATCCTAGAAGGAATCAGGCCTTCACTCACCACCAAACCAATGCTTTTCTGAGGCACTAGGCCAGGCCCAAGCTGTTTGGGACAGCAGAATCACTTACCGTTCACGGTGTCTGAGACAGAGCCCGTTATGGAAGCAGGAGAGTTGGTGGCTCGAGACTGAGGGGCTGAGGAGGCTGGGTCATCAACAATAACCAGCATGTCACTGCTGCTCTCGTCAGGGGGAATGGAGCCAGTGTGCAGCTCACTGCTGATAGAGATCTAGAGAAGGAAGGTCAAGATCATCACTATCAGTACCTACAGCCCACAGCCCTTGCACTTGGGTGAGGACATGCTTCTCAGATCTTGCCATTATTTCCCTCTCCTGCCTGGCTTCACTCCCCAGACTTAGATCCCCTGCTTTGGCTCCAGAGAAGCTAGCCTGTCTTCATTTTCTTTTCGTCTTAGAGATTCCATGTGCAACCCCCATCTACAAGGCAGGAAGACTCCAGGGAAGCAAAGGCTACAAGGTCAGGACACAGTACCCACTGCTGCAATGAAGGCCTCTAAAAGGAGCCTCACCTCACTGAACGGGCTGGGCATGGCGGAGTCCACGCTGATGAATGAGTCATCCCCATCGGCAGAGAGGTTGGAGTTATCAGCCGAGGGAACAAACGGGATCACTAGGTTCATACCCTCTTTTCTCCTTTTCCCATCCAATTCATCTTCCTTTTTCTTCTGGGAACATACAAATCAGGAAATATGGAAAAAGCATGAGGACTGGCACCAAGAGAAAAGTGTAGTTGGAGAACAAAGTGATGACAGAACTTTGACTCTTTATAAAAGTATAGGTTTTATTTTTTTCAATTACCATACTTTTAAGGAAGAAAAAATTCATAAGGAAGGCAGAAAGGGATGGCTTAATAAAAGTTTATATATATTCTACCACAATAATACATAGCTGAAAAGTAGGCCAGTCCCACTGAACCAGAGCTGCACCAAGCCTGACAGTCACGGGGCAAGGTGCATGGTCCGCTTCTGTCATGTCCCGGCTGCAGACTTATCAGGGGTTGAACTGATGCAGTCCTACATCAAGAGGGAGGGCCAGTGCCTTTAGTAGGTTTTCTGCACATCTGTTTTTACTCTGCCTTCTTAAATATGCATAAGGAGAACGAAGGTTCTTATTATACCCAATGAATAATGGGTTGCTTTTGTCATTAGTTCCTCAATTTATATGTAAAGACTTAAGTGTTGAGTGATTGAGCTACACTAAGCAGTTCTAGAACCAAGTTCATTAGGGCATTGTCACAGATTAGAGATCTGAAATAACAGAACATATGCTTGGACACATCTAGGAGTCACATTCACCCACTGCACCTAACTGCATTTGTATCTAATACACCTATATTAGGGTTAATATGGTATGTCTTTGTATAGTTTATATTGTCACTGGATATTTATCTGAAACTTCTATGCTCAGAGCAGGGATAGCATCTGATGCAAACTTGGTAAAGAATATCCAGTATGAGAAAACCACTTTTTCTTCTTTGATATTGTTTCTGAATGTTAAAGTTATTTTAATTCTAAATAGTAGTAAGTAATGGGTAGAGACAGCAGCCCACGCTAGGAAAAAATCTTTCATTCTTGGGATTTTTCAGCTTTGTAAATTAAGTGAGTACCAGGAGTATCCTTTAGGCTAGAAACAGTTCTGCTCAGCAGAAGGTACAATCAAAGGTATGGATTTTACAATGTGAAGAGCTGGTATATCTATCGGAAGATGATCATATAATACAGACAGGCTCCTAGGCTGTGGACTATCAAGGCCATATGGACAAAGGGACATGAGGCCCAATACAAGCTTCGATAAGGGGAAGAAGCTGAGCTGACCTCCACTTAAAGCCGAACCAGTTTTAACATGTGGATGCACAATACGCTTCAGACAAACTGAACAGTCAAAGGAAATGAGGCACGGACAGCTGTGAGACTTGAGGGCCCGCAGCTATGGAGATGCCTGAAGTCCAGGTGGCTATCGTATTCAGACCAGGGGCCCAACCAGGGCTGGTGAAGATGGGAAGGGCAGCACGACCCAAAGGTAAGCCAAATCCATCAGAAAAAAACTAGGAAGCACTTTTTGGAAGGTTGTAAAACGGTTCCACACCAATAGTCCTAGGGCATAGTCCAATCTGGGAACCTAGTCAGAACTAATGGGCTTACTCCTGAAACAAGAATAAGTCCCGAAAGCTGCACTTCCAACTTAGATGTCAATAAAGACTGGAGTAAGGATTAACTGATATAATACTCTGGTAGAAGCAGCCAGATAGGGAGAAAGGTAGGGGAACTACATCCCACTTTGCAGTTAGCCAAGTGGGCTCAAGCAGGAAATGTCAGAAGGGAGACAAAAAACAGCTCAAATCTTTGGCATGAATTAGAGAAAAAGAGATGAACAAGCTCGTCAGCAACTTATTTTTCCAATGGGAGACGACACTGAATGGCACACTAGCAGACCTACGGTACAACGATTGGACCTAATGACCTCTTAGGCCCTTTCTAAGACTCTATGGAATCTGACAATGTAACATCCATCTTACCCATATTTATTTAGCCTTACGCTTTGTAATAGTCCATCAAATGGTTTCCATAATTACCCGTAACCCCTATGACCACAGACATGGTGGATCTGTGTGAGGCATACAGGTCTACCAAGGCTGCACTTCTCCTGATCAAACGTCAGTCAGCAAAGAACTGCTACTAATCACAAACATCTGGAGCTGGATAACAACCAGGAACCAAGAAGATAAGTCATGTACCCCAAAGCCTCGTCTGTAAGCACCCACCCCCACCAGTCCCTGTCACCACCCCAGGCCTGAAGCTGATACCTTCTCTGCATATTTTTCCCGCTTGCGCTTGCGTTCTTTAACTCGGTTGGTTTCCTCCTGCTGCCGTTTCTCTTCTTGCCGCAGTCTCACTATGAAGAAAAGCAAAAAGAGAGCTGATGAAGTCTCTGTGGCAATCATAATCTTCATCCTCTGAAATGAAGGTGGCCATATCCTTGATATTTATGTTCCAAGGTATGACTTCTATCTGTCTAAGACAGATAATTGGTGGTTTTCTAACTCAAGAAGGAACAGAGTTTTTGGATTCTTAACAGTTTCTGGGTCCAAACCATGATCCAGTTTAATTATCATGTGACTTTGCCTTTATTCTTTTTCCTTTTCTTTTCAGGCTTTTTAATCTCTGTGAAGGACAGATTGGGTATGGCTGTAGAGTCCCAAAAGGTTTTTAGAAGGTGGTGGCAAATGTGAGCACCACAGAAAGGAGCTTCCCCATATTTTCTGATGTGATGCTGTGGAAGTCATCAGAGGCTCACAGGGCAAGTCTGAAACCCACTGTTATCAAAACCCAGAAATACACGGGAGAAAGGTTTGTATGTCACACCAGTGTGCTACTCCAGCTTCTCCATTAAAACACTTCCCTGGGCAGAATAGAGTAAATTTGTTACTGCTGAAGAGTCTAGGGATAATAGCCTTCCTGGTACCAGTTTATTAAGTCATATTAATTAAAATATATATGTGGGGGGGAGGAGGGGCAAAATAGATGAAGGGGATCAAGAGGTACAAAGTTCCAGTCATAAAATAAATTAAGTCTCAAGAATGTAATGTTCAGGATAGGGAATACAGTCAATAATATTTTAATAACTTTGTATGATGACAGATGGTAAGACATATTGTGATCATTTTGTAATGTATAAAAATATTGAATCACTGTGGTACACCTGAAACTAATATAATATTGTATGCGAATTATACTTCAATCAAAACAAACAAAACAAAATGTGAATTTTGCCTTCTACTCCATAACACATCCTTGTTTGGATTTTAATAGAAAATATTAATATAAAAAATATTTATCCTCAAATACAGTTTTGGCATTGCCTACTCTCGGCACACAGCCAAGGAAGGACCCCTTCCATTTTCAGATGTGTATGGCTAGAAAAACACCTTTTGTAGGGAGGAGAGAGCATTAAGAAGTAGTTTTAGAGTACGTACGTTTCTTCTCCAACTCTTCATCATCTAGAAGAAGACTAACCACCTCTTTGGGTTTCAAGGTATCTGGTTTGAAGTTCCCACCAGAAATCACCATCCGTTGAATCTACACCAAAGCAGATCAAAATATCACCTCTAGGCACCCATTTGCTTATGGCAACCATCCAGAAAGAAAGAAACACCTTTCTCAATCTGCTCCTCCACTAAGGGCCCTGGAATGCCTATTTTTTTCTCATTCATCTGATTGGCTCACCCAGATTATTTGTCCAACAGAAAGGACAATGAAAATGTCTTTACTTGGGACTGCTAATTGACAGCTAGAGGACCCAATAATACTGATTCGAGTTGGAAGACAAACAAAAATAATAATTTCTTTGGAAACTAGTAAATTTGGCATACAAAAAGAGGTTGATCAAATTGAGAGTGTTAGGGTGAGAGCTAAAATGTCATTTCTTCTTCCTCTCAATGTGAAAGTATGTCGAACATAAGGGCCATGACTGCTGTCGGTCTCCATGTGAACAGCTGAATCTAGGTTGTAGCCATTGTTTTGGTAGAAAAGGAGTGAGGAATGGCCTGGGCAGCTGAGACTGCTATTGTACAGGAGCTGATGTTATTTCATATGCAGAAGAAATTCTAGTCCTTTCATGACCAATGAAATGTGAGAGAGCGTCTTAGTCCAGTCAATGTGGTTGGACTTTCTGTTTTCTCCACCAGTACTTCCTTTGCCTTGTGCTTACCTCACTCTTCTCCTTGGCTCGCTGCAGAATGCGTTCTTCAATGGTGCCTTTACAGATGAGCCGGTACACAGTAACCTGCTTTGTCTGCCCCAAGCGGTGGGCCCTGTCCATGGCCTGCTGGTCCACAGTGGGGTTCCAGTCACTATCATAGAAAATCACCTGCACAGGCAGGACAAGAATACAGCAAAGACTGAGGCACCCTCAGAGCAAAACCAGGAATTCTGAGAGCAACTCAGGCACTCATCTGTTTGCATTAGTTTGATGCCAGATTTCTTTCTATGATATTAAGATTAGCAGATAATCCACTCATAAAATCAAGCCATTCCTTCACTTGCCCTGGGCAAAAGAGACATACTCAGGACTTTTTTCAGGGTTTTCATTTAAAAAGAGGGAACAGCAATAATATTAATAGTTAACACTTAGTACTTATTTGCCAGTCATTCTTTTAGATGCTTTATGTATATTAACTCATTTATATTCCACAATCACCATGATTTAGGTACTATTAAAACCCCCACTTTATAGATGAGGAAACTGAGGCACAAAGGAATTAGAGAATGTACCCAAGATCACACAGCCTACGCAGGTGGTGGGCCTGGGATGTGAAAGCCTTCTCTTTAACACTGGGATGACCTTGGGAAGAGATAGGCATAGCTTTCCTGGCATTCTCAGGCTCTCAGCAGCAGGGTCATTTTCTGTCCCGCAAATTCCCGGGAAGAAATGTTTAAAGGGCTCCTTGGAAGTGAATTCTAGTTTTCCAAATAACAAACACAAACAACACAAAATGTACTCCTCCTTCCCCCACCCCACAGTGATCCTAAAACCAATGGACTCCTGGATTCTCAGTCCTTGAGGCAACTAACACAGTGGACCTCCTTAAAGAAACCCACTTCAAAACGACCCTGATCTCTTATGTGTCCTCTCCTCCATATACAATCAAGTCACCAGATCCAGCCAGTCCCTCTTTAGAAATGAATCCATCCTTTCGAGAGTCCCACTGTCCCTATCCTGGACCAGGCCCTCACCACCTACATCTGGCTCACTAACGCTGTTTGATCAGTGGGCTCCCTACATCTCAGTCTCTTTCTTCTTCAGTCTCCTTTGGGTACCACTGTAGACCACTTCCTCCGTCTCTGCTGGTTATGCTCTAACACACAAAGTCCGAACTCCCCTTAATAATCAGGCCTTGCTATACTGAGCCAACTTCGTTCTATTCTTTCCTAACATAAACTGGCCCTTCTCTCTTATTAGACAGGTCTCATCAGTGTTCCTCACTTATATTACATTTGTCTGCAGCACTTTCTGCTCAAGCTGCTCCTCTAGCCTAGAATCCCTCGCCTCTTTGCTATTAGTCCTTTAAGGTTCGGTTCAAGCTTCACCACTTTCAGGAAGGCCTTCCTGATTTCTCTTACCTATAACAATGTCTCCTTTTCCTATTCCTCATGAATTCTTATTAGAAATAATAACGGACAGAATCTGCTGAGTCCTTACTATGTGTCTGGCATTAGTGTGCACATATATCTTACTGAATTTTCACAAAAACCTGTGTATTTCCTTCAACTTATAAATTAGAAAGAAGCATGCCTGAGCTCACAGTCCTAACAGTCTCCCTCCAACACCTGCACTATTAACACCACTTTGCATTGCCTACCTCGGTCCAAGTTCCCACTTAATCACTGACTATTTTCTATGGGTGTCCAATTTAAAAATCTCCCCATCTAGTCTTATTTACCAGACACCATCCGTCGGTGTGAAGCAGAATTCCACAAATACTAGTCGATTGATACTAGAATCTCTAAGGGGATTTGAGCAAAACTAGACAGAGCCTAAAAATGTAAACTAAAGAGTGATTCCAACTCTCTTGAAACTGCTTCTCTATGATGCTTTTTCCATTGGCTAACACTATTCCTAAATAATTTATTTGTTTTCTCATTTAAAAATGGAGGCAATTCTTCTGCCATTCTTTGAAGAGCTCAGATTTTGGGTGAAGACAGACAAAAAGCATCAGCATTTTCAATGCTCTTTCCTCTACTAGTAAGAATCTCTACTGGCTCTTTCTTATGGTGCTCCTTTCGTCTTGCTTTTATATGAGGTATAATCCTTAAACTTTTAGTGTTTAGAATCCTTGGGGAGAAAATTACAAACTGCCTGCCAAAGAAAAACAAATCACCGTGAAAGCTTATTGTTAATCCACAGTGTCCACAGACCTAGGATCTAGAAGTACACAATGTTTGTCACTTGTAGAGGGGCATAGTAAATCTGACTACAGGACATTCTGGAGCTTATCAGGATATGCACAATTCTAGAAAATCCAGTTTAAACTTCCAAGGAGAACAAAGGAAGAGAAGACACAGTTAATGAAAAGGAGACCTACATTACTTGCCTAACATACCTAAAATGACTACATATGTGGAAAATGAGGGCTGATGTCACATGCAAAGATAGTGCCTTTAGTTGTCCAAGCCTGAGGCACTGGTTCAGCATGAATTCATAATGGGGAGTTTTAGATTATGAATCATTTCATAGGTGCTTCCTTAACATTTACATTTTTTCCTAGAAGTCTCAGTAGCAATCAAACCTGATTCAACTTGGGTTCTTACTCATAAACAGTAAGAACATTAAAGCCTGAGGAGGTAAGTTTGCAATGTAACTTAAAAAAATCCCCAAATTAAGTGGCTATTTATTATTTAAATGGATTAAAAGAGGTGGGGAATTTGGAAGAAAGAGAAAAATAAAGATTCTATTTACAAAAATACTTACCCAGGGAAAAAGAATATGAAATATGTGTAAGCTAGTAAGTTAAAACAAGAACAAGGGTGAGAAAACTAAAACCAAGCCAGACATATGATTATTATCCAATCTGACCATAAAATGAACACTGAATCAACCATGACAGGAACTCGAAGTGGGGTAGGTGTTGGGGGAGACAATTGTGCCCACCACAGTGGGACAGAGATGACACCCGTACTTGGTAATCAAGTTTATGGAGCTCAGTGAGACACCCTAGAGAAAAACAAGCAACAATTAAAGGACTAGAAGAACTGACTTCACTAGGAAAGATTAAAGCAAGTCAATACACAAAGCGTGGCCCAGCAATGACTAAGGGGAAACATATTAATAGTCAGCACCTTCATGAAATTGTAAACACTAAGTTGGGCAGGCATGGCAGAGAGGAGGTAAGAGTCGAGACAGGGCGGAAACGCCTGGCTATACAGGTCAATGAGAGGGAGTTTCAGGGGATGAAGGAGTGAAATGGAAAACAGGAAAATTTCTAGGAGAACAACTGGAAAAAGCTGGACCAACACTTGGAGGGTGGAACTCCTTTTCCCTCAAGAGAATGGGTGGAAGTTCAGTCCCATGGGAGGGCTGAAAGCTGTCCCATTTTGTCTCATGGGACACAGGATTTTTCTCACATTGCTACGAAGGGACAAAAGCTCCTCATTCTCTCCATACATGTAAGCATATAAAACAGGTCTGACATAGAAACAAAACAAACAGTGCAGTTCATAACCACTCCTCACTAAACAGTCAAATGCAAAGAGATCCCTACTTCAGGAAGAATATACAAAGAACAACACAGACAGTAAGGGGCAGCTGCCATTAATCACATGCCGAAATCATGTTTGCAACTAACAGAGTGGGCCAGACAGAGACCCACTGTTTACAAATACACATGTATACATGCATTCTCAATCTCAAGACATTAAGTTTTTCCTAACATTTTAGGCTGACTAACTTCTTCCTTGTCCATAAATGGTTCTGGGGATCTTTCAAAGCTAAATAAATCTCAGGACAAAGGAAAAATGCCAGGCAAGCAGTGAAGCCTATTGTTTGTCTAATAATACACATACACAGAGTATAACTTGACTTCACACAAAGCATAAACTAGGAATTCATTTCAATCTTGTCTCATTTTTCTTAGGAGTATTCCAGGAGGTTCTAATTTACAAGTGAGTCCCTGAGCCCTCCCTCAAAATTAAATGTAAATTATTTTGGAATTGGGAACTCAGAATATTCAGAGCTTCTCTCTAGCCCCCAGGAGGAAAAGGGAATTTCTACCTCTGCTCCTTTTGCTATGGGCTTAGGGCCTACTTTAGTTCTTTGTGGCTGGCAGGAGCTCCTTACCCTCACAAGGCAAACTACGTGAACACTGGGAGCGTGATGCAGATCGCCCCCCTCAAATCTGCTTATTTTTTTGACCATTCAAATGAATGACTAAGGGAACAATTTCTTAAAAAACCATAGACCAAACCTCAATAGCCAGGCTGACAAGAAGGGAAATACATTTTAATCAAATGAATTTAGGCTAGATCTCCCCAGGTGACCTCATCTGGCCTCATAGCCTTAAACATCATCTATGACCTGATAATTCCAAAGTACATCTACAGCCCCAATCTTTCTCCTGAACTCCAGACTCTGCTGCCTGAGTGACAATGACACTTATGTGTGCTAAGCATCTTGAATTTAACATACCCCAAACCAAATTCTTGATTTCCCCTCTCAAACCCGCTCCTCCCCTCATCCTCCCCTTAATCAGTAATTGGTATCTCCATCATTCCAATTGCTCAGGCCAAATACCGTGGAGTTCTCTTTGATGCCTCCTGCATGTCCCACATCCAATCTACCAGCAAACCAGCTGCACCTTCAAAATATATGCAGGTTGCAATTATTTCTCACCACCTCCACTGCTTCAATCCTTGTGTACCATCATCTTGTTACCATCATCTTGTGTCTAACTCCTAACTGAACTTCCTGCTTCTACCTTTCTCCCTACAGTTCTCCCCACCCCAACCCTCCGAAGCCAGAGGGACACATTTAAAACCCAAGCCAAATCACGACACTCCTCTGTTCAGATTCTTCCAGTGGTCTTCCAACTCAAAATCCTTACCATGGCCTACCAAGCACTATGTGATCTGCTTCTCCAACACTCACCTCACACCGCTCTCCCTCTCATTCATTTAGTTCCACCTACAAAGGGCTGCTTACTGTTGCTTGATTGTGCCAAGCACGTTCTCACCTCAGGGTTTTGCACTTATCTCTTCTGCCTGGAACGCTCTTCTTTCTGCCAGATATTTGCTTGGCTTGCTTCCTCACTTTCTTCAGGTCTTGGCTCAAATGTTACCTTATCAGAGAAGCCCTACCAGCCCAGACAAAACAGCAGCTCCTGATCATGAATAGGGTTTTGAAGAACAAACAGCAATTTACAAGGTGGAAGGAGGTGCCCAGGAGGATGATCTATGCTGAGGGAACAGTTTATGCAACAGTGTGATATAATATAGTGCGTTCAGGAAACTATAAGTCAACTGTTATTTCTGAAACATAAATTTTGGAAGGGGAAGTAGCCTGACAATTAGGGCGGAAAGGGAGATAAAGGCTACAAAATGAAGGGCATTTAATGCCATGTAAAGGAGCTTATACTTTATCTCGTAGACGATGGAGACAACCTAAAGAGTTTTAAGCAAGAGTGGCATGGTTAATAAAGAAGGGTATAAATAAACTAATAGAGCAGGTATGGTGCTGGGGGCTGAGACTGGAGTCCAAAAGATCAGTTAAGAGAAAGTGATGAAGTTTATATTCATGTTGAGACTATGACTCAGTTGGGACTGTATGGAATGCTTACAAACTAGAGAGAGCAGAGAACCAAGGAACAAAAAGAAAGCCAAGTTTCTGCTATCTGATATGGCACCAAGGGAGCCACCACATCAGAGAACGCAGAACAACATCACCTACCACCAGTGACGGACTTCCTTTAAGGTGACTGAGGCTGATGATGTGCACATTAGATACAGTATCTACCCAGCTACGCCTCCAGTGGTCCTTAGGCCCTGGAGCCCTGTCCCAACCTGGTTAACTGGCTGAAGAGATTTAGATGCCAAGGAAGGTTCAGTTGAGTTCTCTGGTTCATATTCTACTTAGTGATATTATAGAATCTGTTTTTCATTCTTGAAGGCAGGCAGGTCTGTGGTGTAGTAGTTAGTAAGGAGAAAGAGTGGACATAGCCTAGGAGTGGGGACTGGAAAACATGGGATCCAGTTCCAGCTCTGCTGCTGCGAGTCTATTCAAGCCTCTTCACCCTTGTACCTCATTTCTCCATGAGCCTCCAGAGTTCGCATCCTCCTCATATTTGTGAGAATTCTGATGCTCTGTATTTTACAGAGAGGCACCACAACAGCCATAAAAATTATGTTTTTAGAGTCATGCCTTCTACAGAACAATTTCCCATTTATGCAGTTTTATGTCTCATGTTTAAGGTTACTGAAAATGTTATTAAATGTATTTGAATCCTGGGAGTAATTCTAAGATTCAAAAGGAATGCTCTTTTCCTCTGCTTTTCACATGCTGAAATATTCTTCCAAGATTGCATACAAAAGGATAGGTAATTTGATGGAATGTCTTTTTAATTTAATTTTTTAAATTACCAATTTCATTGCTCTCCAACCACCATTTGAAGTCTGGGATACAAAAATATGAGTTTTTCCTAAAATGGAATAATGTATAAGAGAAATAAAACAATCCTTTCTGATGTGTTCAGTTATAACTCCTAAAACAAATCTGGTTGGATTGACTGATTTTTTTTCTTCAGTGTGTTTATTCAGACGTACTCCAAGTGTTTAGAACTGTATCACGCACACAGTAGGCACTCACTAAATATTTATTGAATGAACATGTAAGAAAGTTACTCCAAGAGAATGGAGAGAAAAGTCTAAAAGGAAAGCTAACAAATGTTCCAGTTCCAGGCAAAGTGTATGTACTGTCTTGTAACATAACAAGAAGAGGCAAAGAAATAAAAGTTTGTGACACAAAGCAAAGGGTAACGCCAATTGAACAACATTTTTAGAGTAGAAAACCTGCATATCTGGTATCATATTGTGCTCTCATTACTTACTGTATCTGCAGCAGTGAGATTGATACCCAGCCCTCCAGCTCGTGTGCTTAGTAGGAACACAAAGATGTCATTCCTGTAGAAAAGGGAGGGATATGTTAAGAGGAAAAACTGAAAAAGAAAAATAGCATATGGCAAAAGAGAGGGAACTCTGAATATAGAACAGCGTCTAGGGCTAGAAAGGGTTTTGGTGGTTAGCCAGGCCTGACCCACGTTTTTTCGACACACTGTACAAAGGTGCTCTGTTGCTAAAATCAAACCATGGCAGTCACCTTCCAATTTGCACATATACTTTTCCTGCCCACTAATACTGACTGGGAGGCAGTATACTTATAAACATGTAGCAAATATAATAGAAAAATATGCTATCGTGGAAGTAGGGACCTCTCTATGTAACAGTCATATTTTTAACAAGTTCCTAGTTCATACAGAGGGACAAATAAATCAGTATTTCCTGTTGTTTCCCCCAAGAACCATGACTTGCAATAATTTTGGAACTAATGATTATAATTCCAAAGCATTCATTTTTCCAAACGAAGAAAGTCAGTCCCAGAAAAATGACCTGAGGTCAGGACTAAGACCCAGGTCATGACTTCTATGTATTAAATTGAATTTAGGATCAAACTCATGAAGATAGGCTGGAATTAAAGTACTTTTTGATGAATGCCAACACAACCCTTACACAGAAATGACCAGATATAGTTTTCTCAGTTTCCCTTTACATCCTATATCCTTTTAAAGAAACTAAAATTATGAATAAACCAGTATGTGCCACTGTCACTCATTCAGGCAACAAATATTTACTGAGTATCTTCTAGGAACAGGCCCATGCCAGATCACAAAGAGCAGGCTCTGAGGGTAAGATTTATCTATCTATGTACACACATACAATTAGGGCTCAATTTGAACTCAGTTCTTGCAGATAACATAAATGTATTTTAAGATTATCTTGTCATCTTCATGCTCCTGCCACCAGAAGTTATTTTCCAGAACATTTCTAAGGGGAAGAAACTGCATTATACTGGCGAGCAAACTTCAGTCCTCTAAATCAAGCAGCTAAACCCTCTTCTTTATGACTATAATGAGAAATACAACTGGAAATTCATTTAGATCAGTGTTATTCAAATTGCAGGTCACAACTATCAATGGTTATGAAATCAGTTTGGTGGATCTGGACCGTATTAAAGAAACAGACTAAAGGAAACAGAACAGATTAGAAAATATTATATACATCACAGGTCATAAGGATAAGTGCCGTTTTGTGAAGTTTCAGATATGGTAAATAGGTAATAAATCCCAATGTAAAATGAATTTTGTTCTGCGGTTTTCAGTTAAAAAAAAAGGAAACACACTGACATCAGGATGCTCTCATTCCTTGATTCTGTTCTTCCTTGGTAAAGTCACTTGACTGCTAAAGGTCTGTTTCCTGGACTATAAAATGAGGATGTTCTGAATATAGCTGAAGTGACTAATTAATGACATATCAACAACAAACATGAGTATCAGTGAAGGAACTATTTTGAAATAAGCATCCTCATTAATCACTATGCTGGGCAGGTCCTAGTAGAAAACTGTCCATTACTTGCATTCAGTTAAACACAACTTTCCTAGAGGCAGGCATGGATCACAGAGCATGTCTGGAGGCCTCTTGTAGGGCATGATTTCAAAAGCTCTGTACTCTCACAAAAGTTCTATTGGTTATCCTTGATTTTATCATGAAGTTTAATATTTCATAATTTTCTTTATTTAATATATAAGATGTCATCTTTTATGGTTAAATCATCCAGAGCAAACCACAAAGTTAGAAGGCACCTGCCAGCTTACAAACACGTTTTCCTATAGATATGGGACGATGTAAATGGAAGCTTGATACCTCGCAGCCCATAGGAGAGTATTTAACCACAATAAGGCTTCAAATAAAAAGTGACTGAACTTTCCAGGGCTGCACCAATCCTGTAGAATAATCCTTCCCACTCTGGTCCTGAGAAGACTGCTCAAAGCTCTCTCCTGCTTTGGTGGGTACAGAGGGGTCAGAGGCTTCTCTCCAACACCTGTGTGAGAGCTCATGGAGTCAGCCAATGGTTAGGACTTTTTTTGTAGTTTCTAAAGAAGTCCAGAGCCTGAGGATGGAGTAGCGGCAGGCGAGTGGGGATGGGACAGGGAGGGAGGTAGAAGGTAGCTTGGGAACTACAATAAAAGAAAGGGTAGAGGTAGAAAGATGGGCTATTTCCACAGTCTGGACAGCCAGAGAGATAAGTCCCCAGATGTGGTAACTATTTATAAACAAGGACTATACACAGAAAAAATACTAGTGAAAGTAATCCTGGTAAAAATAAATTGATGGCGAAACTTAGAAATATGATGGTGGAAAACACTTTTTTTTTGGATATTAACTATGTATCGAGAAGATGTCTTTTAATGATGAGGTAGATTGTAAGTAGCAAGGTTTGCCTGCATTCAGTAACATATTCATAATTCATAACATAATTCATATTGTAACAGAAGAATAAGGATTACAGAAACCTTGGGCTGTTAAAAATCAAAGAAATTAGCTTCCACCCTGGATCACACTGTTGGATTATTTATAAGCAAAAATATTTGAATCAAACTGCTGAGAAGTTCCTTTCTACTGAACAAATCTAGTATTATAACATGAATTAATATCTTGGCAACCCTGACTAAAGAAAGGAAAGAAAACAATCCTGGAAGGCAACATGAGGGTTTGGGTGCCCTCTAGGGGGCTGAAAAGGAACCTCAACTCAGGGTCTCCGTTGGAAGACACCTGAGAGACCAGGCTTCTGGGTGGTCTATGAAGGAGACTATGAAATCATGTAGCAAAGACAAGTCTAGGTCTCACCCTTACTTTTCTTTAGTTAATGATCCACTGAGGCCACTTTGCACCACAATACCCAAATTGTGCTGGGCATGTAGCTGACTGCAGTAAAAACTAGATGAATGACTGAAAAAGAGCCAGAATGAAAGAGGGCACTGGAACTCTGTAACACTCTCAACTACAAAGAAAAATCCATGCTACACTCACATTTTCTCATGTTTTCTGAAGGGTCACCCTGAGTGGTGCGATAATTGGGGGGATCCATCTGGCAAATGCCATTGGGTAGGAGGAAGGGAAGCAAAGACCAAGGCACGTCAGAGCAAAGACCTTGTGAATGGCTTCTAGGATCATGCACTGGTCACATGTTGTGAATGTTGCCCAGTCAGGACATCCTGGTCAAACAGTCTTTAGTCTCAGTCAGACTCTTTCCTGGAAGGATCCCTCATAAATAAATCTTGCATGAAGGGAATGTAAATGGCTTTTTATAGGAGTTCTTGTTTACTCTGGCTGACCTTTGAGCCACAGCGCTGTCCAGTTGAAACTACAATTTTTTCTTTTGATGTCTTTTCATTAATAATAATGAAAATATTTGGCAAGGTGTGCTTTTCTGTTTTGAAAAACACCTGTCTTTTTCTCTATATTGGGTTACTGCCAGCCAATCAAATTTATAAGTGGAGAACTTTTTCCCCATTTGGAGGGGTCTGCCTGATAAGCTTCTGGTCAGCATAGGCACAGCTCAGATTCCATATACAAGAAGTAGGAGATTATTTCCTAGCCATTAATCCCAACTCCAATCATCTAGCTCTTAACGTAGGCAGGGAAGGAGACTTTGCTCTGTTTTTTCATTTTGCCAAATATTAGATGCAGGGTGTTAAAATGATAGTTACTCAAATGTTCAATCTAAATAAAACTCACTGCTCCCTAAGTAATTCTCAGTTGTAAGGTTTGGAAGCTCAAGTAAGTTTCCCAGGAAATCTGCAAAATAAGACATTTACTAAGTAGATGTAGTACAATTTAATGGTGAAAATACCCTTCTTTTAGAGCTAAGCTTTTAAAAACTACTGTGTGCTACTGGGATTGTCCAAATAACTGCTTGACAAATTAAATAAGGGATTTTAGAAGTAATAAATCAAATACATCTACTGATTTTTTCCATTAAAAGGTCACTGGAAAATGTACTAAGTCCTGGATCTCATAGTCCAGTTTTCTGGGAATTGGGTCAGCTAGAACAGCTGTAGCTCTACAACTCAGAAGCCCAAACCATTAGAAGTCAACATACCATAGCTCTAGGTGGAATCTATATCAGCAGAACTTTCTACAAAGTAATCTGACAATATGCACAGTCTTATATGTTCATATCCCTTCACTCAGTAATTTCCCATGTTTGAATCTATATTAAGAAAATATCTAAAATAGTGACAAAGCTTTATAAAAAAGATATTCACTCAACATTTTAACAATGGAAGAGTAGTATATATACTCAGTGTAATGGAATGTTGGTCACTAAAAATAACGATTACAAAGACTTTTTTAATGATGTGTGAAAATGTTTATGATATAATATTAAGCGAAAGAAATCAGGACACACAATCCTATCTACAATATGTTATCAACGTGTAAATATAACCCCCCACACACACCAAAGACTAGAGGGATATACCAAAACGTTAACAGTGATGGGACTGTGAGTAATTTTTATTTTCTTCATTAAATATTTTTCAAATATTCTTCAATAGGCATTTTATTGTAATATATAATGACCCCAATTGTTACTGGAAAAAAACAGCTTTGTTGTTAACGAAAGATCTTCAAAAGTACCCTAGCAAACATACTAGTGGAAAATAAACACAAACAGTAGTAGGTGAAACATCTACTACTTAATGGCTTTTCTTGTAACACAGAACTCATGCCACTCCTACTAATGTGCCCCCAACACAGAGATGCTGGCATCCCTGGAGAAAATACAGGCACCCTGGGAAAATACACAGTCTGTAGATCTTGTATGTAAGATTCCTGTCAGTTGGAACTCTGAGGTTGGAGTAGGTGTGGACATAGTAAAACACATTTCATTTGATTTCAGAATTAAGAAAAGATGAAGATCAGCTGGTAAACTTTCTTGGGGGGGCGGGGTGCGCACAGCTATATGGTAGGGCTAGGAGGCACTACTTAGCTTGTACATGTCTCAAATAACCAATTTAAGAATCTGCCCATAGCTTCTGAGAGCTGAGAAGCTAGGTGAGGTCACCGACACCGTTGTTCCAAGGGAGCAAGCTGGAACAGGTACAAAGCAGATCTTCCCCTCCACTGTTGTTCAAACAGCCACCTGAATTCAGATGCACGGTTTCAACTCAGAGGAGTTATTGGCCTGAGTATGCACTGTAAATGAAAACATCAGGATGTATCTCCTTACCTGCGCTCCATTGTAAAGGACCGTGCAATACCAAAAATTCTCAGAGGGCACTCTACTTTGAACTATGGATTTGTTTTATGCTAAATTGTTTTACATCTGAAGTAAATCATGCTTTAAAACAGAAATGAAAGAAATTAAAAATTGTAACCTAAATACAAATGGCTTTGTGCTTCATTTTCCTTCCCAAGAATTCAAAAGTTAAATATTAACAGACTACACAATTAAAGGCCAAAAATTCAGAACTGTTCTGATTTACAGAACATTAAGATCTATTCTATTCCTTAGTCCTCCAGGTCTAAGGAAGAAAACTAAGGGTGGAGTTCAGCAGACCAGTCACTAGCAGAGCTTGGCTTTCCCCTTGGAGAGAGCAGTAACCAGACTCTGCTTATTACAATGAGAACCTGCACTTAGGATAATTATGGCTCTGTAAGCCATCAGCAACCAGCAGGCAGTATTTGAAATTTCATAGGTTCATTATCAGGTGGGAGAAGGACTGTAACTGAGAGCTGCCAGCTGAATAGATTGCACACTATTGCAATTTGTCATTCTGTACTGTACTACTACAATGCTAGAGGGAAAGCAGGAAAAAGGACGGTATTTTTCTTTAAACTTAATAGGAAATGAAACAGGTAAGCAAAAATAAACTAAAAATCAATTGTAAGTCAACACCCAGAGACAGCCACTGTCAACATTTAGGAATACAGCCTTGTGGACTCTTTTTCTACATGCATATTATATATATAAGGAGGATCTTGGCTCATACTCAGACATCATTTCTTTTATAGCCCAAAGAAATAGGCACTGATTTGGTGAGAAAATACATTTCAAACACAGGTATTACCAAGCATTCATTTTCTCTCTCTCTCTCAGACGCACAAATTTGAACCACTATAAGCGGATTTAGCTACCTCTTAAAAGGGTGGGAACTATATCATGATCACCTAACAATCTGAGATGTGTTGGCATTTCTTTTAAACTTACCATCTCAAGTACTAGAGGAAAAACAAACGAGAATTTTTGTAACTCCTATTAACATTACCTGTTCTGAAAATCAGCAACCATGTCCCGCCTCTCTGAGATCTTGGATGAGCCATCAAGCCTCATGTAGGTATGCTTCCTATAAACCATATATTCCTGCCAACCAGAGTAAAAAGATGTGATAAGTCTGATGCAAATTAATTACTGTATTCTAATTCCCACAAGCATCTACCTACCTTCTTTCTACCTCCTCCATACTGGGAACAAGTCATTATATCCAGAATGAGAGAAAGTAATCTCAAAAGGACAGGAATTTAATTGGTAAATGAATTTACTGCCAGTGTGTGACAATCAAGGGTAACGAGAAGATTACAACCACTCTCAATTTCAACTTGGAAACTAATCTTATTCCTGTAGATTACTGTAGATTTCATGAAAACAAACAAAACAAAATGAAATTTTCAGTCATCAAAATGGCTTTTCAGTCACCAACCAGATGTTTCTCACAGCTATGGAATATCCAGTTTTCTTTTAGTAACACTCGTCCTAATGTGTTTCTCCCCAGCAAATTCTTGCTGATCAAAATCCTTGAATTTACAGCCTAAGCTTCCTTCTTCTCATAGAGCATGCATCACTCTTAAGGGAACAGAAGACAAGGTAACTTTCCATGTCAGAGGATGTTCTTGTCATCATCATCTGTGACACATCATCTGTGAGTGGAATTACAACTTTTAACAACGGAGAAGAGACTTCAAGAGATGCAATGGAGAGGATGGATCTCCATTCTTAGATGCTGCCAATTCCTCTTACAGATAATATCCAAATGAGCATTGATTTCCTGTCTTTATCCAGATTATATGGACAATACTTTGAACAGTCCATTTGTAGAGGAATTATTATCAAACGCTTCACACAGCTGCCTATATATAAGAAATCACCATGAACAGTTACTTTGGTTCTAAAATAACTTTTCACTATTGAAAAAGACTAATCATTTCTACATTTGGGAGATTGTGTTAATTAATTTTCTGTGGTCAAATGTTCTTTTATTGCAATACTCTCCCATGTAGCTCTTATACTTGGCTGGGTATTTTAGCAGACAACGTTGCTACTTTGGTATGGTTGGTGCAGAGTATGTAGCAGCCTGCTCTTAGAGCAAGTGAGTGCCAAAAACCCTTTAAATGGCTTGGCAGAAGTCTCTGACTATGATATCTGTTATGTGAAGCTGGTTGACAAAATAGACAAGCTCATCAAAGCACACATCTTCATGGTGTTTCATATATATATATTTCACTATTTCTTTCAGTCTCCAGGTGCTTATTAAAGGGCTTTGATAATCAAAGAGGGGCAGAAAAATATTCAGTCAAAGCAAGTTTCAAGTTTCCTTTTAGGAGTACAGCCCTATAATGGGACTGGGTTAATGGCAGAGAAGTAGGAGTGTTTTGGATAAGGAGGAATTCAGGGAAGAAGATGAAAAATGACAGCATGATGATGGTCTTTAGAGGCTCACTGTACTTTGGCAGCTAATCCAGTCAGGGAATACTGCCATCCAGAAAAGCCAAATAATGAGATTATACAGAGAGACACCCCACAGCTTTGGACTTTAACTAAATCGTGAGTTTCTTGGACAGGCACTCTTTTGCCTTTTAAGCCAGAACTTCTAATCCCAGCGAGAACAGTAATGAAGGAATCTTCTTGTAGATCTTGCTGTTTACATGATTTATATATCAAGGTCAGCATAACACCAGAGATATTAATGCCAGACCACAATCAAACCAACGCTGATTACAGAGAGCCTGTTACTGAGGCAACAGAAGTGAACCTTTTCAGTTTACTGCTTTAAGCCTTTGCTCTCTCACTCAGGGGAGTAGTGGGATTTCAGAAGGCTTAGATGAGTTTAGATCCTATTTTAGTAAGTAGCTTCAAAACAAGTTCATGGATGTGGAAAATACAGTTAAAAACAGAATAGAGGAATGTCTACATTCTCACATCACAGAAAAACATCCAAAAGATAAAAACTGAGCTAAAAAGGCAATTCAGTATTTCTTTCATTCACAAATTCTGGCTACACCAAAGCTATTCTAGATGTTTCTAAAATTCTAGGCTGTTTAGAAGATACTTAATTTAATCCAATGTTCATCCAGAAAGAAATACCTAATTTCTTCCAATCATTAATTTCAAGAACTGTGACCACTTCCATTCTTAGTTCAGTTTTCCTATGATTCTAAAAACATCTAATGATTTAGTACAAAATTCAATTCTATCTTGTTAAAATAAAAACACAAATTCTAAGAACAAATGATTTGACAGTACTCATAGAATTTCTGAAAATTTATTTAAAAAAATCTATCTCCATCGTATTTGAAAACACACTGTACCAAATGAAAACACACCATACCAAATGATTTGGGACGCAGCAAAGGCAGTCCTAAGAGGGAAATTCATTGCCATACAGGCTCACCTCAATAAGCAAGAAAAATCTTACATAAACAACCTCAAACGACACCTAATGGAATTAGAAAAAGAAGAACAAACAAAGCCCAAAGTCAGTAGAAGGAGGGAAATAGTAAAAATCAGAGCAGAAATAAATGATATTGAAACAAAAAAGACAGTAGAAAGGATCAATGAAACAAAGAGTTGGTTCTTCGAAAAAATTAACAAAATCGACAAACCCTTAGCCAGATTCACTAAAAAAAAAAGAGAGAAGTCTCAAATAAATAAAATTAGAAATGAGACAGGAGAAATCACAACAGATACCGAAGAAATACAAAGGATCATAAGAGAATACTATGAAAAACTATATGCCAACAAATTGAACAACCTAGAAGAAATGGATAAATTCCTAGACTCATACAACCTACCCAAACTGAATCAGGAAGAAATAGAGAATCTGAATAGACCAATCACAAGTAAACAAATAGAAACAGTAACCAAAAACCTCCCCAAAAATAAGAGTTCAGGACCAGACGGCTTCTCTGGAGCGTTCCACCAAACATTCAAAGAAGATTTAATACCTATCCTTCTCAAACTATTCCAGAAAACTGAGGAAGATGGAGCACTCCCTAACACATTCTATGAAGCCAACATCACCCTGATCCCCAAACCTGACATGACAAGGACAACACAAAGAAGGAAAACTACAGGCCAATATCACTGATCCTCAACAAAATTTTGGCAAACCGAATACAGCAATATATCAAAAAGATTATACACCATGATCAAGTGGGATTTATACCAGGGACACAGGGTTGGTTCAACATCCGCAAGTCAATCAACGTGATTCACTACATTAACAAAATGAGAAACAAAAACCACATGATCATCTCAATAGATGCAGAGAAAGCATTCAACAAGATCCAACATCCATTTATGATAAAAACCCTCAATAAAATAGGTATAGAAGGAAAGTACCTCAACATAATAAAGGCCATATATGACAAACCCACAGCCAACATCATACTCAACGGACAAAAACTGAAACCCATCCCTCTCAGAACAGGAACAAGACAAGGGTGCCCACTTTCACCACTCTTATTCAACATAGTACTGGAGGTTTTGGCCAGAGCAATTTGGCAGGAAAAAGAAATAAAAGGAATCCAAATAGGCAATGAAGAAGTAAAACTCTTGCTGTTTGCAGACAACATGATCTTATAGATAGAAAACCCCAAAGAATGCATAGAAATACTATTAGAAACAATCAACAACTACAGCAAAGTTGCAGGGTATAAAATCAACATACACAAATCAGTAGCATTTCTATATGCTAACAATGAACTAACAGAAAAAGATCTCAAGAACTCAATCCCATTCACGATCGCAACAAAAAGAATAAAATACCTTGGGATAAATTTAACCAAGGAAGTGAAAGATCTATACAACGAAAACTACAAGACCTTCTTGAAAGAAATCAACGACGACATAAAGAGATGGAAAGACATTCCATGCACATGGATTGGAAGAATAAACATAGTTAAAATGTCCATACTACCTAAAGCAATCTACAGATTCAACGCTATCCCAATCAGAATTCTAATGTCATTCTTTACAGAAATTGAACAAAGAATCCTAAAATTCATATGGGGCAACAAAAGACTCCGAATTGCTAAAGCAATCCTGAGAAAGAAGAACAAAGCTGGAGGCATCACAATCCCTGACTTCAAAACATACCACAAAGCTACAGTAATCAAAACAGCATGGTACTGGTACAAAAACAGATGCACAGATCAATGGAACAGAATTGAAAGGCCAGAAATAAAACCACACATCTATGGACAGCTAATCTTTGACAAAGGAGCTGAGGGCCTACAATGGAGGAAAGAAAGTCTCTTCAACAAATGGTGCTGGGAAAACTGGACAGCCACATGTAAAAGAATGAAAATCAACCATTCTTTTTCATCATTTACCAAAATGAACTCAAAATGGATCAAAGACCTAAAGATTAGGCCTGAAACAATAAGTCTTCTAGAAGAGATTATCGGCAGTACACTCTTTGAGATCAGCTTCAAAAGAATCTTTTCGGACACCATAACCCCTCAGATGAGGGAAACAATAGAAAGAATAAACAAATAGGACTTCATCAGACTAAAGAGCTTCTTCAAGGCAAGGGAAAACAGGCTTGAAACAAAAAAACAGCCCACTAATTGGGAAAAAATATTCACAAGTTATTTATCCGACAAAGGGTTAATCTCCATAATATACAAAGAACTCACACAACTCAACAATAAAAAATCAAACAACCCAATTACAAAATGGGCAGGGGACATGAACAGACATTTCTCCAAAGAAGATATACGGATGGCCAATAGACACATGAAAACATGCTCATCATCACTAATCATCAGGGAAATGCGAATCAAAACTACACTAAGATATCACCTTACACCTGTTAGAATGGCAAAAATATCCAAAACCAAGAGTGACAAATGTTGGAGAGGCTGTGGTGAAAAGGGAACCCTCATACACTGTTGGTGGGAATGCAAACTGGTGCAGCCACTATGGAAAACAGTATGGAGATTCCTCAAAAAGTTAAGAATAGAAATACCTTATGACCCAGCCATCCCACTACTGGGTATCTATCCCAAGAACCTGAAATCAGCAATCCCAAAAGTTCCAGGCATCCCTATGTGCATCGCAGCATTATTCACAATAGCCAAGTC